ACACAATTCTACACTCTTTGCTCATGTATCTTGGCTTTCTATATTTGTCTAAAAGACAACTATTTTTAGTCTTGGACAGCCTGCATTTCAATGAGAAGAAACCTGGCACTACAGGATTATCATCAATCTTAGAATTAATCAAACCTCACTAGTCTTAAATTTTTCTATTCCAATAATACAAATGGTTATAGCGAAACACTAGCGCTAGTACATAATGGCAATAATGGAATTGTCTTTTATGTCTAAAATACAAGAGAACTGAGTTGCCACAGTTTTTAAGATCATACCCATTTCTAACTTATTAAAAAAATAAAATGAATATTGATATGGGTATGATTCATTGGTACATTACTTTACCTTATCCTGCCAAAATTCTGTTTGAATTGAGTGTACTTACATAGATGCAAGTGAGGAGAAGCATTGTGGAATATCAGGCTCAAGACCTCAGACAGACGTTCTCAGATGTGCAAGAAACACAGAATCATAGAATTGTCAAGGTTGGAAGAGACCCTTGGGATCATCGAGTCCAACCATCTACCCTACTCTACATTTGCATTCATGATGGATTTTTTTGTTTTACTTGCAAATGGCCATGAAAAGTAAACTTTAATTTTTCTCCCTATATCTAGAACAATGGTATCAGAAATCTACCTATCACAGTAATGCAGCACATATCAGAAAACCTAAAAAATATTATGCAGTTTATATGAACTTAGCCGTATATCAAATTTAAATTATTTTTAAGCCATCATAATTTAAATAAAAAAAATCAAAGTTGAAAAACATTGAGTAGCAGACAAATGTGAAACAATCTGGCAACAGAGAGTCTATGTACAATACTTACTATAAACTGTACGTTTTCATTGCTTTATTTTAATCCTATTAATCATTCACAAAAACTAAATCCTTTTTCCTAGAACATGGAAGTACAGAGCATATCCCGTATACAGGAATAACGGTAGATACCCCACAATTCATTCTGATTAATAATTAATTCTGATTCAATTGCCTGTTATTGAAACTCAATTAAGCTTCCATACGTTTTTCCCCATTTTAAAAACCTACCTGTTTTGAGGAAAAAGGACCCATTTTACACCGCATGCCCACTCAGGTTTTAACTTAACATATATTTTAAACTGTCATAAAAAGAGGACTGGATCTTAAAATTTAACTTTTTTCAGAGATCTTGTTCTATTAGAAATCGTAATACAAAAGACTGACTGCCATGAGTAAATAGATGGAAGATGACAGAGGGAAAATTACTGTGCAACTTTGCAAATGCCAAACAAAGCCTAAGACAGCAACATGCCACCGAAATCAACGGCAGACTTCCCATTACCTTCCCTGGGGCCAGATTGTCACCTTCAGAGACCAAGGGATTTGCTCAGGCTCTGAATCCAGACCTCTGCGGTTCCACTTGTGTCTACCTAGAGGGCCAAGCCCCCGCTCATCACGAAAACAAGCTCACTGGGTTAAGGGGGTCACTTTTCCATGCCCGATTCCCCCCGGCACGGGCAGCAGACTGAGCGGGTGGCTCCATCCAGGGCAGCAGAGCTGCACCTGCCTACGCTGCGCGTCAGCCTCGTGCTGCCTCCTGAGAAACGTGTGCCTGCTCGCCTAAGTGCTAATGAATTCCAAAAGCCTTAATGCAAATAATGAAAAGGACTGGTGACACAAATTTTTACAGTAATGATTCACATAATTGGATTCTATTCTGAGAAAAAAAAATAAATCCATTCCTTAATGGAACAATTTCTAATTACATAAGCATTTTTAAACTTGACTTTCAGATTTTTATATTAGTGAAATCTATATTCTAGTAACACTAGAAGTGGAATCCCTCCAAAAATGTGCAAAAAACCCATTCAATGTGAATCTATGTTGCTGCTTTGTTTTTAGACAATTGTAGAAATCAGATATGAAATAGGCCCAATTGCATGTCACGGTCCCCTATGACACACTCATGCTTCATCCTTCCATACTGTGAATTTCCCTCTGTATTTTCCAGCTCCACAACCAATGGTGCTCTGTCCTTTCTCCCATCCTAGCATCTGGAGAAAGGTATTTCATTTTAATCTTAAGAGTTTCTTATTAAGGTGGCTTGCTGTTGCTGTTTCATTAATTCTTAGACAGGATTAGTAACAAAAGAAATAAATGTTATTTATTTTCTAGAAACTGATCACAGTGATTACAATTCATTCTTAAAAGATACCAGGTGTATTTGTGCATTTTGTATATTTGTGAATTCATCCAATAACAGTAGGAAATTATTGACAAAATTTGAAGTAAAAAAAATAAACTTTAACTAGTCTTGCTAAGCTTTCTGCAATGCAATAAAATTAATTCACTGGCAAAATCCAGAGGAAAAATAAACTTCAAGTACACTTGCAATTTTTCACTTTGCATCAGAATATTCTTGAGATCTTAGGCAAATAAAAATTAACGGAAAAGCATTTTATTAAGACTATAAAGAAATGAAAAAGATGGAAATAAACAACTTGAACTATGAGAAAGAATATGTAATTTTTTCCAATCTGGTGGGGTCCACCTACAGTATGTTTGAGATAATATGTTGAAAAGTTGTCAACTCAAATGTATTGTCACTCCAAAGTCATTAATTATTGTTAGGTCCCATGCCAGTCAAGACCCAGTAGTGAACTACTGGCATTACTCTCATTTAGATGTTTCTATCATGTGTGTTTGCTCCTATTCTGACTGAACTAGAGCATCGAGTAAATCATAACAGACATTTCCTGACATCTGCCAATAAATCACCAAAGGGAGAGGGGACAGTTTTAGCCCCAAACACCCCCAGAGGGAGGAATTGTTTATTAGCCAGTCAAGTCTAGAAGATGACCCTAATATAACAAAGGGCTTAAACAAAATATAACAATGTAATGAACAGAGAAAAGAGCAGTGATTTCAGGGTAGGATGTCCCAGGAGACCTCAGCAGGGAGACCGGCTGCCAGAGCTCTGCAAGGAGGGAGATGGGAGCGATTTCATCCCATGGATGGATGGTCCTCTCTGGGGATGAGCTCTCTGTCGATGGCCCACAACACGCACTGGTCCTCTCTGGGTTTTTGTTGTTTTGTTTACAACCAGTGGTGTAAAGCATTAACAAAGACCACCTGGCGCTCATTTTGTCAGGAACTGAAAGCAAGACAACTGGATATAGGAAAGGGATTTTTTTTCTGAAAAAGCCTCTCAGCTTAGTTTAAGCATAGCTTGGTTATAGTCCTCATTTTCTCATCTATGTTCTTTATAAAAATGTATCTATCCGGGTTATTAATGAATAAATGCTTTTCATTTCCCTTTACCTTATCATTAACCATTAAATAGATGGTTACATGCCTTCAAGGCAAATGGATAATGACAAGACATTTCTTACTTGGAGACTGGAAAATCTATTAATGAAGACACCTGGGAAAACAAGTAGAATAGCTCCTCATCACGTAAGTATCTATGTCTAAAGAGTCACATTGCAGGCTTTTATCTCAACTACACAGACCATGATGGAGAATTGTCTTTCAATGGCTGACAGCAACCAAGAAGTATGGCCCTCTGGTATATAGAAAGATATTGGCTGAACCCTGACAGTCACAAAAGCTGTATTACAGGTGATTATTCTAAGATAAACTAAAAAAATAAATAAATAAATATATATTTATGGTCCTTTATTCCTTTCTTTCCCATCTCTCTCACAGTGTTCAGTGTTTTTTGCCAAATATAAGGTACAACTTACTAAGCACACAACAGCATTTTCTGCTGGCTGCAGTGTTGGAAATACCCTCAAGCATGTTTGATTCCAGCAATAATTCAGTAATCTAATCTTCAGCTTACAAAAGGGTGGGTAACTGCACCAATAACAACAGAGGGAGAATATGACACCCTTATCACCAGGTATCGATACAGAGTTCTAAGGCACAGACATCATTTGGACAATAATCTACAAACTAATTAACTAACTAGCAATAGATGTCCTTCCTCAGCACAGGTAACTCATCAGCATCAGCTCTGCTAAGTCACCCACAGCTTCTACCTTCCACCACCACCATCCCCATGGTGCAGAGATCAGTCTGCAGCCAGCCAGCCAAGCGTCAAAACAATCATCAAACAGCTATTTTTCAAGCCAGATAGGTGCCAGGGAGCCACCACAGGGAATGCCACAACAGTCCCCATCTCCTTCCCAGACCTCACCACAGTCTCCAATGCACTTTGCGTACAGGTGACCAACACTGATACCCACCACAAAAGCCTCCCAAACAGCTTTGAGGAGCCCTCTACAACACTGACTCCTCATAGCCAAGGAAAGCGACACCAAGTTTCCCTCGTGTTTCCTCAGGCAGAAAAGGACAAAGCCTATCACAAAAGCAGTTCTGGAGTGCTGGCAGCGATGAAAGAGCAAGGTCACTATTTCCGGTACTCTCTACCCCTTGGCAAGGCAGGATTCAGTGAGAAAACATAATTATTGGTCCCTAGCAATGCTATGTTCAGCACACATCGCTTTACAGTTTTGCCCAGGGTGCTTACAGAAGTTAAAAGAGGTTTTCTCACAACCTTCACGTCCAGCTTTCTGAGCCTATGTGCAATCTTGATAGTGAATGCTCTGCTTTTTCAGCAAACACAGAACAGCTTCCACACTATAAGCATGTAAAGTCTCAAGTTTCTCTTGTTTTCTCTAGTCTCTTTCTTGCCTCCCCCTGTGGTATGAGTTCCCTATGGTGGTTCTTGCTGAGGAGGCCACCAGGCTGACGTGCAGTTCTAGCAGCTGGTGCTGGAACAATGCCATTTTGCCGCTGTGCACCCATCACTGCAGCTATTTAGCTTTTGAAAGATTTTTTTTCCACCTTCCCTACCAAACAGCCTAACATGTAATAATACATCCTTTGTAAATCATTGTTAATTATATCTTCTGCTTTTGATGTAAAACTTCTCTCAGATAATCTACATCCATTTTAATTTACTATTTTCAGAAATAACTAAAAACTTAAATCCTTACCTTAAATTTATCAACTTCTGCCTTCGAACATGTTGCATGATAAGATAACACCTGCCCCAGAACAAAAGAGAAAAAAACATTTTTGTAGACTTGACAAGTAGAAATAATAGGGCTCTGTACTGCAGTTTAATCAATGATGTTTTAAACAAATTTAATTAATATTTACGCATGGTAATTCAGTTCTGAATGTCAGCATATAATAACTAATTGCAGGTTATCAGGTATATATTTGGCATTTATGTTGCAGGGAATTTTATAGGGAACCATGGACAGTAAGTAATTTAATATTATAAGCATTCCTACATTGTTCTCCTAGAGTTCTACAATTAAAAGAGGAAGAGTTTAACGTAAAACTAACAGTAGGTTTATAGACTTTAAATAATGCCTTTTGCCATACTGTAGAGCGTTAATGCTTTTGGTAGCAGCACTTCACTGCATGCAAATTAGCACCTCTATGCTATGCCTGACATGCTCTTCAATACCATTCAGGAGATGAAAGCATCAAATAAAATGCACAAAGTACTGCCCACCTCCTCTTATTACCTCTAAGTATGCATACATTTACATGGAATACGTTATATCCTTATGTGATGATACTAACATTGAACAAGCACTCCAGAAGGTGTAAGAGCCATCCTGTGTACTGGACCCACCAAGGCCTGACTGTGCGTGGGACGAGGCACTGGTCCATGAGGCAGCTCACAGAGCCAGAGCACTCCTAGCAAGGACAGGTCCTCTTCACCACACAGCAACACCCGATCCGCTCATGTGCTAAAGCTTTGATATATATTTCTCATTTTGAAATTGTTTTCACCTATGAATGTGTCTGTTACTTATACAAATACCTAAACTCTATCTCAAATGCCCTTGGTATGCAATATGTTGTGGCAGTAAGTCCCAAGATGTATTTACTCATCTCAATTTTAGAGGTGTCATCTTTTACGGTAACAGGAAATCATTCCTGCACTATAAAAGAATAAATAACAAACACCAATTTACTTGTTCTGTCCCACGTTTTACTTTCTATAACTGTACATCATGTTCTTTCTCAAATCAGATTTTTCTGTCCAACCATATCATAGCTTCTCTCAGAAATCTGTAAGAATAGAAAATTGTCTTCTGCCATGATAGATTACACTTAATACCAAAATTCTCGTCAAGCTTCTCCTTTATCTGCATTCATTATATCCCTCTAGATTTTTACAGTCTTCCTTAGTATTGATTATTCTAATCTCTTAATCATTTGCAAATTTTGCATCCTTAATATATAAAATGGTATTTAGCCTGGTTTTGAACCATATAGCATCCTACTGGCAACCTTTCTCCATCATTTATTCACATTTTGGTCTTCTGTTTATTAGTCAATCTTATGAGAATTCTATACGAAAACCAGTATCTGTATCTGGATAAGAATATTATTATGATATATATCGAATTGATTTATTTTACATCTGATATCAATGTCATTTCCAGATGCTATTCACTGCCATCCTAGCTAAATACACAAATACTAATAAAGTATTCTATTACTGAAAAATGGATTCACAGTCCTTCAGCAAATACCGTTCTTCTTTTGTTCAGTACTTTTCTGCTGTATCTTCAATCACTTTACACAAATATTATCATGAGTTGTAGCTCATTTATAGAAAGAATTACTCTTCCCTGAAGCACAGTGGCCATTTATCAAACCTACAATCTACATTCAAGCTATATAGCTATTAGTCTTTTTTAAATCAAAGAAATAAGCTGTTATTTTAAACCAGGAAATTTAAATTTGTTTGATTTCAATAGTAAATAACCAACTTCTATGTTAACTTTCATCCCTATATATCTGCATGTGATATCTGGCACTACTTATTTTTCTTGCCAGAAGGAGTATTCATTCTGAGCTGTAACATTGCACAAGTATCTGGGGCATATGAGGGCTTACAGTAATTCATGACTAAGGTAAGTAAAGAATAAGGAATCTTGCAGGAAGGAAAGTTTTTAACTTTTCCTCCTAAGTGAATATATATTCCTATACAGGAATAATAAAAAACCCCTGCCACTTATACTTAGAATGTTTTCTAACATGAACAGTCCTATTGACTTCAAAAAGCCTTAACACGCCTACGTGCTTCACAGGACAGATCCCCAATACATAGATAAGTATCTCCAACCCTGAGGCAAAATAAAAAAAAATGCCATAGAATTGTTTGGGTTGGAAAAGACCTTTAAGATTATTAAGTCATCCAATGTGCTTTGATTTTTGTTTTAACAGAGAGAAATTCATATCTCAATCAAGCTAATGCTATTTTTGTGGTTCTGTAGGTACTGTACCAACTCAAAGACCTTACACAATTAAAGGGTGCACACATCAGGGATAGCTAGATCATTTTCTTCTCTTCTCATGTGTAAAATTTAAAACAATACTGAAATCTTAAGTGACATCATTTCGTCAGAGAAGTGTGTTAAGATTAGTCTTGCATAATGCTTTTTAAAAAATCTTTAATGTCATTTAAACCATTCTTAATTATTGTTTTAGTAGAAGTAACAAATTTGTAAAGCTATCCTGAAAACTCTAAGCATTGTTCTCAACAAGATTATTTTTAATATGATTATGTTTACAAACTCCAGAATATAATAGAGAATAGCGGTTTATTGTTGAATCATCTTATAGATGTTTAAATAATCATATGGGGTTTTTTTTAAACTTTACAGTTTGTTTTATAAGAGTTGATAAATTTCATTCTTCATGGAATGGGGGGGGGGGAAAGGGTTGCAGGCAGAAACAGCAAAAGAAATTCCTACAAAGCAATGGGCAAAAAAAGAGAAAGCTTTCCACCCATTTAGCTACTGCATATGTATTTTATACAATGATGTGATATGCTGGAATACCAGGACCTTGCATTATGTATTGGTCTTTACGCACAGCAGAGCTCTTACTGAGTTGCCAGCTGTCCTGCTTTAACTTTATTCTAGCAAGATGTTGCTTTTGATACCCAAACCCCTATGACGATGATAACTTTTTTCAAATTTTGTCCTGTTCACAGTATGTTTTACGTACACTTTACAACACTAGAAAAGCAACGAGCTATCTAAAGTATCAAATTCTAAGGAACTTTCATTTACTGATGGGCAAGAAGATACATATAATGCCTACATTAATTCCTACGCTTTCACCTGTAAGAAACTAGATTCTCCATCATCACTGTCCTCCCTTCTAATGTAAAAAACATAGGCATCAAATGAGATATCCCGGTTCAAAATGACTTCAGCTGTCATGAGCTCCACAGCTAAGCATACCCTGAGAAAGTTTCCCTTCATCATTACTTTCATAAGACAACATTCTAAGGTGCAGAGAGGTAGATATAGAAAATGATGCTAACTACAGTAAATTCAGAAGCAGTAGGTTCCTTTACATGTGACACTTATGAGCAAGAAAAGGTTTCATTATGATGTACACATACGTCAAGAGCCACAGACTGTTTTGCCCAGGATTTCTTCACTTGGTCATACATAATTGTGTTGTTGATGCCCAGGCCACAAAAAATAACGAAAGCCTAAAATTAAAAAGAGAAAAAAAGAAAAGAAAGTAGATTATAATTCAATTATAATACAAACACAAATATGAATGCTGCCTTAATCATGAAAGGAATTGCATGGAAATATTAAGAATTATCAAGCTTACACACATGATCTTGAGAACGCAGGTAAGTCACTGGCCTCAACAAGATGGGAAAGATCAGATGCAAGAAATTTGTTTTAATTAGGATGCAACTTAATAAAGTGAGAATTTATTCTGAGAATAAATGTCAAACCACAAATACAGACAACATATTCTTCCCCCCTCCCTAGAGTAGGCTGAAGCAGCATTACCCAGAAATACCAAATCCCGCTGAAAAAGTATGTTACTGCTACAAAACTGAATGCTTCTTACTTCAAATAGTCGCTGGTCGGCATCATCAAAGGGTTTCCCATCAAGCCTGTTCAACACTTGAGCTACCCCTTTAGAAAGAGTTAATATGAATTATAATCTTCATTCATTAATTCACAATGCAGAATATTTTATTCATTGGTTACATTTAAAATACATCTTTCGAACTGAAAAGCCAAACTGCAAATATGTACTCTGAAAAACATTAAAGAAACATGTGAAAGTCTGATTGTTTTGATACCAGGACTCAGTTTATTACTTTCAACCGTTACTCTTTACTGTCCAAGTATAATATTGAAAGTCTAAAAGCTACTCGCAAAGCTGTTCACAAAAGGTTAAAGATCTCTTTGTGAAAGAACTTGAGCACTTTGCTAACAGCAATCACGTAAGTTGTCCTAGCAATAATTTGGAGTTACTAATATAATTTGGTCGATCAGTACCTTCATTCCCAAAACCTTAGTTGGTTTAGCATCACCTGGGTGTAGAAGTCCTTTTTTCCTCATGACTGGTTCATAAGTGTATTGAACCAATGAAAAAAAATGTGATTTCCTTAAACCCCTTGAAAACGAAAAAGTGTTCAAAGCTCTTGGCTCTCGCTGAACTAATACTAAATTCTACTGCAACAAACCATTTCTATTTCACTTAGATACAATACGCCCTTAGAAAAATGCTGTAAGAGCCATCAGCAGTCAAAGGTTCAGTTTCTTTCTACTTCTTTAAGGTAATATGGCACTTCACAACAAACAAAGAGCCGTATTTTTAAGAGACTCATTTCCCACACCATCTCTGCTGAATAAGCTCAAAGATCCTGATCCTGCTTGGCATCGAGTGTCTTCAGCGATGCACTGCTGATCTCAGCTCTCACTGACAGCCACAACACACAGGGATGTAAGTCTTGCCCTGCTGGTTTAAAATGCTATCGCTTTGACTTGAATTCTCCTGTGGAAAGTTACAGAGGAATCTGGCACTGTTATTTACAAATGGCACCCCTTTTTGTGCCAAAAGCCGGTAACAATGCAAGACCAATTGCAGGTGCACCATAGCTGAGAAGCATCCTATCAAAGAAGCATAAAACCCTGTCACGTCCTGATCCAGCACACGCCACTGCCACAGGCAACTCTGACAGCTGCCACAGCCTCTCCGGTAATTCTTCCCTGACTGTGTAGTTTATCATTAGAGGAAAACGACCACTTTTCTGGAATGCAGAAACAGCTGCTCGAGTTGTATACAAAAAAAGGGAGACCCAAGAAAAGTATCAAAGCATATCAAACATTTTTCACTAGTATTGTTAGAATTTCTGTTTTCCTCTCATTAGTCTTCAAGTTTCAATACAATATATAATTTAACAATGACGCAATGGGAAAGCTGAAAAAGTCCATACAGTATCCAAGTCAAAACATCCCTTCTTGGATACTTAGCATGCATCCTAGGTACCGTAACTTCTTAACAATATTCAGCTAGGAAAAAGAAGAAAAAGGAACATAGAATTAAAAAGACAGAATTACATTTACAGTAGCACAGAAATGATGCAGCTACGAGGCAGGTCTTACCAATTATTTGGTGGTTGCTATTCCATATAGGAACACACAGAACAGACCTTATGTGAAAGCCAGAAATCTGGTCAGCCTAAAACAGAAATGAGAGCTTCCATTAGCAGTAGGTACCATTGGCAGCCTTTTACACATTCTAGTAATAGAAATGTCAAGGAGTAAGTTTACATTTACAAATGTCAATGTCATTCCATATGGATCAGCTCTCACTCAGAAAAAATTTCTCCTGGAACCTCATTCACAGTAAGACTAATCAAAAGTCACAAGGATTATTCTAAAAGTCGCCAAAGAAAATACAAACATTGCCAGCTTTGCCACAGAAAACTTACAGTATTTAACTTCGATTTGGAATTAACATCAAACTGCAATTAATGCAACATCCAGACAATTCCTGGATTATTTACACTGTTGGATTAGTAGAGACAACCCCCATTGAGTAAGTGTGCCTTAGAAATACTCTTCCCAATTGTCAAACTGAAATTGGATTTAGCAAAGCAGCTATAAAAGGCGGCTCACAAGAAATATGCATTTTCAGAAGAAAGGCAAGAGTAAGTAGGGAATTGTGCAGAAGTGCAAGCTAGAAGAAATGGAAGGATGAGGTCAAAACCAAGATTTGAGATCTTCCATGTAGGTTTAATTGGTCCTGTAGTTCTTAAGATAATTTTCTGCCTCATTGTTTTTTTATCTAATATAGTACAGAACTTCGCAATTTATACAAGTGTCACTGATTCTCTCTTTTCTATGTTTAATAAGCTTTACTTTTTAGGTCATCGCTGCAAAACCTGAAGAAAATAAAATATTTTTTCAAAAGAGATTAGAGAGTGGGATGAGCCCACTCACAGGAGATCAGATGTTCTCTTACTAAAACCGCCAATGCTACAGAATCTGTAATAGAGGAAAAGTAAAATACAATAATTCACGTACTGGAAGCAGGATGGGATCACTGTGATCTCCCAGTTAGCAAAAGATATAGCTCAGGTTTTACTAGAGTACTGCTTATTTGTATGTACGCAGAACTCCTCACTGAAAACAGCGTGGACTGCCACCCAAAATCCATGGGAGTGGGGGAAAAATTGCCTCAGATGTCTATCTTAAAATGAATTCAATGAAAATACTTTGCCATTAAATTCTCAGTGAATGAGCTGAAAATTGAGCATCAACATTTGAAAATGACAATTAGTGTTCTGGGAGAAAAAAAGAGAGTGTTTATAATAGAAGCAGAGAACAGAATATCTGTTCATAACTACAAATGTACGTTTGATTCTATCCAAAAGTTGTAAGGGATAATATGTTCTTCTTAATCCACTTAACTGTCTGTAGAAATAATTAACAACTGAATTTAAGAATTAAATTTTCATAGGAACCCACCAACAGAAAATAATTGCTGCCCTTTGTATTAAATATTTTCTTTTTCTCTATATAAATTGGGTAACGCCTCTAACTTGGAAAGGACTAACTGTGAAACAAGCAAGAGATAACTGAATTATTCAGGACATGATATATTAAAAGTAAAACTGCAAACATCAAGGATTGGCATGCTTTATTTTAGCATATCTCTTTGGCAAGAAACAGACCCCAGGCATTAATTGTACTTTTTGAAATACTGAGCAAATTATCATCAACACAGTTTTCCTGTACACAGACCCCTTTTATTTTTCTTGTTTTGACAAATTCTGCTGGTTTGAGAGATAACCCCTTTAAAGATACATGGAATAAAGCTGGAACCAAAAAAACTCAGTATGAAACACTTCCAAGCACACTTACGGTAGTAAAATAGTTTGGCAATCTTGCTGACCAAGGCTGTCCGCTGATTAATGTGCTGCCCAACTGCTGGCCAAGTCCCCCATAATAATACTGTTTCACTGGACAGAATTCAGTGAAGATTTTGTCCTTCTACATGGCTCTAACATTTATTTAGGTGTTACGTATACATTTTTATCTGTATCTACACCTTTCTAACTGAGGCTGGAATGAATACCTCAGCACACACAAACAACTTTTATTAGCAGTGATATGTATCTTGGAGAAAGAACTAATCCAGTCTGTATATTTTACTTGTGTAAATTAAAAGGTTAAATGGCTAAGTTAGATTACAAACATTTGTCTCTAGATACCAGTTCTGTTTAACACTCCACGTGTGTACAGTCCCACTCTCCTCAACGGCTAACAATGATGGTGCTGCTAACACTGAACACAACAGCAGAATTTTCAGCAATAAAAATCAGTACGCACAAATATCAAAGCACTTGATAGAGGAATGTACCACTAAAATAGAAAATAAAAGAACCACGGACAGACTTAAGTAACTGCCTAAAATCATACACTAATTCAGTGACCTTTGTTTACTGTATAAAGCCATGCCAACACCAGCAGATCAGAAGGAGGACATACTGGATAGAAAAAAGAATTCAAAATAAATATTTGTGTTTTACAGCCACTTGGATATAACTATAAAATTGTGTTATATTAGTTGCCATGCCAAAAACGTGCTGTATATTTATATTTCTAAAATTCTCTTACTTCAGCATCAAAGCGAGGATCCTGATAGGCATCACTGATGTTCACTGGGAGACCCGTGGAAGCTACAAGTTCAGCAATGCTATTATTTATTAGCCAGTCGGAATAAGATGATGACTTCTCCACACTGTCTTTGAAACTATCAAAAGGCATCACAAAGGAAAAGAATACAGTCAACTTTGCTTGAAAGTCTAGCATGTCTTACAGGCATAATCATAGGAACAGCAGAACCACACTTATTCATGGTTACTAAGTATTATCTATGGAACAACGATTTGGTATTTATTGAAATGGTACATCAAAAACTCTTCTACACAATTCTTTCTATTGAAAATAGCACTGGTCTCCCAAGTAAAGTAAATACAACATTTAATGATGAAATGCATTTACGTATGAATCAAGAGTGGGATTATGTTCCAAGTTTCTGTGGGATACAGACCTGCTCATCAAAAGCAACCAGTTCTAAATAATATTTTCCAGAGAGCTACCTGAAACTATATTATTTTAAGATTTTAATTTTCCAAATTAGTATGATAATTTGAGGTCATTTTAATTCATACTTCCAATAATTTTCATGTCAGGCGAAATGCCACTTTTTTTATTTTGGTCTGAAATACCAGACCTGAGTGGCTGAAGAAAGAATCATGAAGTAAATCTTAAAATCAATAATGTAAGTGTATCGCACCAGGTGGATCCAAGTAGACATATAATACGTGAGTGTTCCCTCTTTTGTTTTTTTCTTCCCCTGGCTGAGCTTCCACCACATCTACTGATGGGCTAGAGACCTGTCAGTAAATGAGCATAACACATGAGAATTATAGGCTTAACTCCCCACGCTCCACCACGGCTTCTCCAGAAAACTCTTTATCTACACAGACCGTAAAATCCTCACCTTGTACCTCATCTAATCA